GAAGCCGTGGTTTACAGTGAATTTATAACAGCTAAGGGGGTGTTATAGATTATAACAGCTCCTTAGCTGTTATAAATTCACTGTAAACCACGGCTTCTTGGGGCTTATTGCTTTATTAACATCCATGGAATCTTTCCATTCCACAAAAGGTTCTTTATAGTAGAAAAAGTTCTTTACACTATTAAAAATAAAGGTTTTCACAGCGATGCCATAGAAGAACCATTGTTGGTACTCTAAAGAACCTTTCAGTTATAGTTCCTAAAAGAACCATATTTTTCTTGGTGTAAAGAACATTTTATTAATCTAAAGAACCTTTTAACACTATAAAGAATCTTTTCTGGAATGGAAAGATTGCATGGATGCTGAAGGTTCTCGATGGAACCATTAATGCCAAAAAGAACCCTTATTTTTAAGAGTGTAGATTATTATTTTAAAAATGGTAAGAACTGCTAACTGAACGTTTCTTTGAGAAACCTCAAATGGTTCTTCTTCAGCATCACTGTGAAAACTCCCTTCCGAACCTTTATTCTTAAGAGTGTAATATACACCGACTTAAGCATGTGGTCTGGGAAAACGCCCATCGTCCTTTATTCTATATAATTGCGTTCCTATGGCTGACTCACCCGGGCAGGCAGTCTCCGCATACGGCGTTGCTCGTGGTGGAGCAGTTCCCCTTCTGGAAGCGGTTGAGGAGGGAACAGTCCAGACAGGGCTTGCATTTCTGCAGGCTGCGGTCCTCTTTGAAGCGACTGGCTCTGCAGGGCACACACTGGGCATCCTCCCCATAGCCAAAGCCACATTCCTGCGAGGATTAATGAAAGATATCTCACTGCTGTGGAAGGGAAGGGCGAGGGAGAGCCGCGCTAAAGAAAAGCGCCAATGTGGACTAACAAGAGGGCGAGATGAAATAATGATCACAGTGTGTGTGTGTGTGTGTGTGTGTGTGTGTGTGAGATCCCCCCGCTGAACAAAGGCCAAGCTTCTTTTGAGAGAGTCTATCTTACACAGGCAATAATCTCCCTGACTCTCACGGGATCAATGAACAGCCTTCTGCTCCGGGCCCCCGAAGGGCTCCGCATTTGAACCAGAAAGGCCCACGGGGACGCCCATTGTTGGTTTATTGGGAGTTTATTGCAGAGGTTTTGTCAGGCCTCTCTTCGGCTCAAGTGTGTGCGAGAGAAATTGATATTGAGAGGTTTTGGTAAGCGTAACGCAGAAAGAGAAAGCCCTTAAAATAAAAGATTTACTAAAGATTAAACATTTAAAAAAAAGAAGATTTAATAATGCAAACACCCAGTTTCTAACCACAGAATAAGGAATGCACGCAACCAAATTTTTAAATTTAATTATAATATAAATCAAATTTTTGCCATTCAATTTTATAATTTATTTGATAATTTTTACATTTTATAAAGAAATTATACATTGTGAATAAATTATGATATAAATATACTGTTCAAATATATAAAATTAAGATAAAAGCTAAATTCAATTTCAAAAAAGCTAGTACAGATCTCTAGTTCAGATAGAACCACTCAAAAGTTTTGCTTGTTTGTTTGTTTTTTAAGAAATTAAATTTGATGCATTAAACCGACAGACATTTGCAAATTGCAAAAAAAATTCAAATAAAAGAAAGAAAAATGTTTCCACAAAAATATTAAGCAGCTGTTTTCAACATCGATAATAATAATAAAAAAATGTTTCTCAAGCAGCAAATTAGCATATTAGAATAATTTGTGAAGGATCATGTGACACTGAAGACTGAAGTAATGGCTGGAATCAATTCAAATAAAAGATCACAGGAATAAATTACATTTTAAAATATATTAGAATATTAAACAGTTGTTTTAAAGTGTAATAATATTTCACAATGTTACTGTTTTTACTATACTTTCGTCAACCAAACATATCATTGATGAGTATAAGAGACTTCTTATAGTTAACTGTAATTATTAAAAATAAAAATGTGTAAAATGAAACTGACTAAAACGTGAAGAAATCTAGTATAGATGTCAGTTCATGTTCTTTAAGAAATTTAAATTTTTTATTTTTTTTTTGGGGGGGGTGAAATACAACCCAGACCCAAATACAATGTTCTTGACAGGTTTCGTGAGATTCACCCAGAAAAGCGATCTGTGTATGTACACAAGTCCAGATCAGGAAAGAAACCTGAGGAGAGCACTCAATGTCTAGCTGTGGGGTCGAGAGGAATTCTCAGCGCTCTTGAATAATACGAGACAACACCCTTTGCATTGTTCCCTAAGTACAGGCCTATTTCATTTCAATAAAAGATCTAAAACAGTGCAGTTTGTGTAATAATATGAGGCAAATTGTACCGTACACATGCAAAGTTTAAGCAAAACGTTACAAAGAGACCACAGGGAAAGCGTCTACATGAGCAAGCTCGCCATTTCAGTTGACAGGGTGAGGATTTTAACAATAGAACAGAATACCGTTGCCTTTAGCTTAGTAATAGCAACAAAACACTAGTATTATGCACACAAGTGAGACAGAGAATTAATCTGGGAAGATGTTCTAATGGGTTCAGAATGGTCTTTCCTCGAACTGTGACGAACAACATTTGCTGGCCATGTTTCTGTACAGCATGTTGGACTTTGACGTTTTGCCACATTGAGTTTGACATTAAGAAGTGAAACGTAAGCAAACGTTTTTTTCCAGGCTCCAGGATCTAAGCTGAAATCTAAAGTGCCGCTTAATTAGCATTACTCAGAACAGCTTTTCCCCCTCCTGGTCCACCCACTTCAATAAACAATACCAGAGTCTTTTCAAAACTCTACTGACAGTAATCAATCTGGAATACGCTCGTTTGTTTTTTAATCCTTTCCACATTGATATAATTCTTGGGAATCTCGCGGGCATATGTTCAGCTTTCACTGAGCCAGATTTCTCAAACCATTTAAGTTAAGCAAAGCTTCATGGAATTCAAATAATGCCTTATGGCCCCATGCAACAGAATTCATCAATCAAGATCAATCAAGGCATTTATTAATGAAACCCACCAGCAATGTGACACTAATTCAAAACACAGTTTTCTGTTTTCAGTCTAGTTCTGACTAAAAGATCTTGTGTTCTCTCGATACGTGTCAGCTAGAGGAACAAGAGTTCATGCAAAAATGAAAATTCTGTCATCATTTACAAATTTCATTATGAGAACCAATGCAGAATATCTGCACAAATGAGTTCTGACATACAGGGTGCACTCTTAAAAATAATGGTGCTTCAAAAGGTTCTTCAAGCGATGCCATAGAAGAACCATTTTTTTTCCATTCAGTCAAAGGCTCTTTAAAGAACCATATCTTTTTTACCTTTTTATAATCTGAGGAACCTTCTTTCGCCACAAAGAACCTTTTGTGAAACAGCAAGGTTCTTCAGATATTAAAGGTTCTTTATGGAACCATTTAGACAAAAAGGTTATTCTATTGCATTGTGAAGCACCTTTATTTTGAAGAGTGTGCAGCAAGATTTCTGGTGAATGACTTAAGAGTCCGTTTCTCACACAAAGCTATTGTATGGCATCAGAAGACTAGGAAATGTCAAAAATCATATCAATATCAAGTCATACAGATTTGGAACAACATAGATGATAGAATATTTATTTTGTATAAAGTATTGCTTTAAAAATGCACATTTATTTTACACATGTTTATTTTTATTTGTTCAAAATAATAAAGTAATGATTTTGTGACATATTTATACAATTTAAAATAACCATTTTCTATTTTAATATAAACTACCAGTCAAAGGCTGGAAAATATTTCATATTGTCAAATAATATAATTAATAGTGTAATAATATAAAAAAAATAAAAATATTAAAAAATTGTAATATAATAAAATAATGTATTATTTATAATAATAATATTATTAATAATAACAATACTGTAAATGGTAATATTGTAAAATATTATTACAATTTTTAAAAAAAGTCTCAATTTGAATATATATTTTAAAATGTAATTTATTCCAGTGATGGCAGAGCTGAATTTTCATTGACATGCTCAGTTATAATCAGTTATTCAGTTTGTACTGCTTAATATTTTTGTGGAAACCATTATACATTTTTTCAGGATTTTTTCGTGACTATTAAGTAAAAAAAAACAGCATTTATTTGTAATTTAAATCTTTTGTAACATTATAAATATCTTTACTGTGACTTTTGGATAATTTAATGTGTCCTTGTGGAATCAAAGTATTATTTTTTTTTTTGTACTTACTCCAAACTTTTGAATGGTACAGCTTCCTCTCCAGCAGGGCATGAAGGATTGGGGGGGGGTGAATAAAAGAGGTATGGTCACTCTGTTTGAAGGCATGATGCCATTCCCGGAGAGATAATCAACAAGAGAGCGAAGGGGGACAGAGAAATCTAAGGAGCTCTGTAACCCCCTGTGGTTTGTCTGTTGGAGTGTGCTGCTGGGATCTTCCAATGTTTAGAAGTTCAAACAGACAGCTGAACCTGAGATAAAAGCTATTCAGGCTCCCAAATACAGCTCAGAATGAGTCTACATGTCAGAGCTGTGGCTTAGTAGATTTCACTGCGAGCTGTGGTGCTAATATTGGCAATAAGAGTTTGAATCTGGCTCGCAACATTTCCTAATCCTGTTTCCCCCAACATTTTCCGTCCTCTCTGTGTTATCATTTCAGCAAAAAATTTCATAACAGAATGTGTCTACGTGTCAGGGCCGTGGCTTAGTTGTTATCACTGTGAGCTGCGGTGCTCATAACAGCAACGGGAGTTCGAATCTGGCTCGCAACATTTCCTAATCCTGTTTCCTCCAACTTTTTCCGTCCGCTCTCTGTGTTATTATTTCAAGAAAAAATGTCAAAAGCAGAATGTTTCTAAGTGTCAAAGCTGTGGTTGTTCACTGTGAGCTGCGGTGCTCATACGGGCAACAGGAGTTTGAATCGGTCTCGCAACATTTCATAATCCTAGCTGGACATCAGATAAAAGCCAAAAGGATTCAGGCTTCTGAATATGACTCAGAATGTGTGTATGTGTCAGAGCCGTGGTTTAGTAGTTATTTCTGTAAGCTGTGGCACTCAAAAAAAAACATGTAACATGTCCTATTCCTGTTTTCCCCATAATTTCCTATCCGCTCTCTGTTATCATTTCAATAAAGAAATATCAAAAGCAAAATGTGTCTTTGTGTCACAGCCATTGTTTAGTAGTTATTACTATGAGCTGTGATGCCCATAAGAGCAGTGGCAGTTCGAATCTGGCTTGCAACATTTCACAATCCTAGCTGGACATCAGATAAAAGTAAACGAGTATTCAGGCTCGCAAATATGGCTCAGAATGTGTCTACATGTCAGAGCTTTGGCTTAGTAGTTATCACCATAATCTGTGGTACTCATAAGGGAAAAAGGAGTTTGAATCTGGCTTGCAACATTTCATAATCCTAGCTGGACGTAAGAAAAAAGACAATGAGGATTCAGGCTCCAAATTATATTGCTCAGAATGTGTTGATGTGTCAGAGCTGTGGCTTAGGTTCTCATAATGGTTCAAATCTGGCTCACAACATTTCCTAATAGTGTTTCCCCCATCATTTCCTGTCCTCTCCTGTTATCATTTCATCAAAAACTGTCAAAGGCAGTCACAACACAAACGAATGGTTTCCCCCCAACACAACTCCCGTCTAAATAGATTTATTATATAATATATAATCTATAATAAATAGATTTGTTTTGGCAGAGCCATGTTAGAACAGCTAGCACACATGCTTAAATTGATCTGTTGTGCTCATGAGGGCAATCTGAGTTTGAATCCAACTTGCAACATTTTCTAATCCTGTTTCCTACATCATTTCCTGGCTGCTTCCTGCTGCTGTTTTTAAAAAAGTCAAGAGGTCAAGAGGTCAATACACACTATAATGCCCAAACAGTTACAATACGACAGTGATCAACAGTACAGTACAACCTAAATTAAATCTATTGTACATGTTATATAACCTCTAATAACAGATATGTATGATTTTGCTATAAAATGAAAAGTTAAGAATGCCACCTCTATTCTTTTCAAACGCCTGTTTTCACATTCCAGAATCATCCAGGAACAATCTTGTCTAAGAGGACTCACCAAACCAATACCTGCAAGTACCATTTTTCCACTATCTCCGGATCAGATTTGAGTGAGAAGCCAAGCAAAACAGCAGGATGGATGTGTGATAGAGGGGAAAGCTGCATGGAGTAAAGCAAGTTCAGACACACAAGTGGTTTGAAGTCATCATATTCAAACCCCAAAAACACTCTATTCTACTAAATTATCCTGAAGTATTGCTCATCAGTACTTCCTATCAAAGCAAAGGGTGAACTTCTTACTTCACCCAACAGGTAAGCTTTAAGGGTAAATCTCATGAAACCTGTCACCCCAAAATCAAAAGAAGAAAATAATATTTTGCTAAAATAAATTCAGCTTGGGAATATTATAGTATTAAAAAAATCACTGCATTACAGCAATATGTAAACTTTATTTGATCCATATATAACCTTTATATGTACTTACTTGTCATAAAAAATAATGTAATAATGCAAAATATCAATGATCCTAAAAAAGATTTTAGTGTATCTATACAAAAAAAAAAAAAAGATTTATTTTTTCTTTATTTATTCTTTATTTTTTCTTTACTAAATGAATTGAAAGTGAATATATTAAAATCTATTAAAAAGGCTAAAATAAGCCAAAAAAAAAGTTGCTAAGATGGGTTTCATTTAGCCGCTCAAAAAGTTGAGATGCAATCCTCCATGACGCTTAGCAGTCAGGAATATGAGTGAATGTTTATGAGGTCTGTTTTGAAGAAACTGCACATCTGCATAAGGATGAATTTGTTGACGGGTTGAGAAGATAATTCATCAAAAGTCCTGATTTATTTCCAGAATCCTTTAAAGCAATAGTTGAAAAGCAATGAAAGTCATCATTTATTCACCCTTATGTTGTTCCAAGCTCCTATCTGTCCAACTTTGTCCGATTTGTGAAGAAATCTTTCACAAGATTTCTTGTGAAAACAAGACTCTTTCTTTCCCAAGACTCTTTCTTGAAAAGAGTCAGATCTTTTCAAGAGCGATGGGCAGTACAGTTGTAAAACTTCTGTGCTTCTGTCTCAAATGTGAAGCACACTGCATCAAAATGTATATAATAAAATGTAAAACATATATTGGAGCTTGTGTTACCACGTCACCAAGGGAGGGCGGGCGATGCATAAAACATCATTAAAACACTGTTAACTAAATATTTGTGATCAACCTCAAGATGCCACTGAGGTGTCAATTTGCTATGTATTGAAGCTTCGAATCATTGTTTGAGTTCACAAAACCACCTGACTGATTCGTTCTCAAATCAAACTGATTCAGTTCCCGAGATTCGATGATCCAGTTGCAGTGGTTAACAGCCTACTAGATGCATCTGCATGCTAAATTCTCCTTTTCTGTTCCACAAAGGAAAGTCAGTTTTGAATGACATGAGGCTGTGTAAATGATTTCATTTTTGTGTGAACTATCACTTTAACAATTACAAAATGCCTTATCAACACAACTTTATCTTAGCTGCTATCGCCCTTTTAGGTGAAAAACAGTGTGTAGGTGGGGTTTTACAAGCTGTTTGACTAGTCATGGATCTCTGAGAAACAAGCAAAAGGGTGTCATGTGAACTTTTCTTCTGCTCTTACAAAACAAATCATCTGGAAGAGCTTCTGAAGTGTCAGACACTAAAACAACAAAAATGTTAAGGTGTTGCTGTCGTTATTACAGCTATTCTAAGGTTAAGTGTAATTTCTATAGTAAAGATAATGACTCTTTTTAAACAGGTTTCCCCAGCACTCCTCCCATCTGCCATTGGTCACAACAAACAGATAGCCCCGCCCCCAAACCTACACCATTGGTTGAGCCACTGATGCTGTTGCTGGGCAGGTCGGGATGTTCAAACAAACAAAGCAATGTTTTGATAGCTCCACATAGACAAAGTGTTTATACTTTTTTGGAAAATAAACCTACTCCTACTAGTATCTGCATATTAAACTGGGATAAGAGAAAGTATTTTAACATCGAAACTAAAGTAACTCAAACACCACATGATATTGTCCTTGGCTCCAAAGAATAGGGTAAACCACTAGTGCTTTAATGGAAAAAGTAGGCAATCATTCACTACCTCCTCAGGCCCCAAAGCATTAATTGGCCGAAAACATCTGAAGCATTGAAGAGTATAAGCAATAAGTGTGTGTTCATGTGTACCGACATGAAAGTCGTGTGGTTAAAAGTAGCACATCCAGCAGCCTGATGTACCTGCATTTACCCAGGCATAAACTGTGTAATGATTTCCACACTCCAGAAATACCCCAGACCTCCGTTTAGATTAGGTTTGTAGTACAAAACCACTTAATTTCTTAACATGCCATGTTTACAAGGCCTTGGAATTCTCACGTGTGGCAATGACATTAAAAGGCTTGAAGGAAAAATAGAAGATTGTGAGCAGAAGTGTGGGTGTAACTGATTAAAGCGTGGCCAGCGCTCTACAAAGGAGAACAGCGGTTTACCCTCTCTCTTTATGAAAAGGAGGAAGCAATAAATAATCGGTTGGGACAAGCTATTCAAAACATTGGCATCCCCTCTTTATTGGTGAACTCTTTGCTTTTGGCCAGTTTGGTCTTGAAGTCTTTCATGAAAACTGATGGGAACGCGTCTCTCGGTCCCAGATTTAATCGCATACGTGGTCTTTTTTAAAAACAACTCTGAGTATAAAGGTCTAAATATATCTGCATATTAATCTGACTGTGGTAGGTGCTGAACGGAAAGAATTCCAGAATTAAAGGGTTAGTTCAGCCAAAAATGAAAAGTCTGTCATTAATTACTCACCCTCGTGTTGTCAAAGTATTATTTTTTTTTTGTACTTACTCCAAACTTTTGAATGGTACAGTATCATGGTTTCCACAAAAATACTAAGCAGCACAACTGTTTTCAACATTGATAATAAGAAATGTTTCTTGAGCACCAAATCCAAATGACATTCTAAAATATATTACAATAAAAAAATGGTTATTTTAAATTTTAATAATAATAATAATAATAATAATACAATTTTTACTTTATTTTTGAACATATAAATGCAGCCTTGGTTAGCATAAGACACTTCTTTCAAAAACACTAAAAAATTATTTATTAACTTTTTTTAAAAGGAAAAAAAAAAAGACCTCTTGACATCTTAGAAATCTGCATCTTCAGCTTTATAAACAGCACAATCTGTAACCGTGATCCATTAAACAAACACATCTCCTCAAACTATCCCGTTCCCACCAGTCGCATTCCAGCAGAGGAGCGTCATGCGGAGAAAAGTGCATTGGCATCCCCTCTTTATTGGTGAACTCTTTGCTTTTGGCCAGTTTGGTCTGGAAGTCTTTCATGAACTCTGTGAAACTGATGGGAACGCGTCTCTCGGTCCCAGATTTAATCGCATACGTGGTCTTTTTTAAAAACAACTCTGAGTATAAAGGTCTAAATATATCTGCATATTAATCTGACTGTGGTAGGTGCTGAACGGAAAGAATTCCAGAATTAAAGGGTTAGTTCAGCCAAAAATGAAAAGTCTGTCATTAATTTCAGTTTTGGGTGAACTAACCCTTTAAGCTCAAAGGGAACCAAATCAAAGGAACAGAGTGCTTTGGATATTATTTCTTGATTTAAGCTGTAATCTTTTTAGGAAATTAAAAATACAAGTTTTATACATGCACTAATGTTTCAAATTAGGCTAAAAGAAAAAATAAGTAACCTAGTGCAGAATTGGCAAACCTTGGATAGCTCTTGTCCAGCATCACACTGCCGGCAGGGAATACAGTTTCCAAACGTATCCTTGTATTCCTGCTCCCTGCAATCTCTTCTCTCCTCTGCCATAACTGCAAACTGTGAGGAACATGAAACAAGCATGATTAATTATTCCATAATAGCATTGGAGGTTTACCAAATTGGAGTGCAAGTAAAAGGTAGTGTAAATGATAGTGTACAGTCATTTAGAGCAAATCTCAGAATATCATTTCTAGCAAAAGGTGCTAATATGAACGAAACATACCATAACACACAGTGGAAGGACAAGTATCCACTGAAGAGGAAAACTGGAGAGGATCAGAACCCGGGGCATTGTGAAAGGTCTTTCCCACATACACTGTGAAAGCACAAATCCTTTGATGAATGATTAATGGAGGACACTATTTGCATTATCTTTCAAAACGGTGTGAACACCAAGCAAACAATGACTACTATTATAAATAAATACCCTTTTGTGCTTTTTTAATGTTCATAATAAAGCATAATAAAAAGGCATAATCTGTAGATGTTTAATTTTTAAAGAGGTTTAACACTGACTGAGTTGGAAGAAAAGTCTTTCTATATGATTTTATTTAGCTGGAAGTATCAGCCAATTCAGATAATTAACAACATACAGATGCCGATCATTAAAAATATAGTAATATTGGCCAATAATGATCTATCAGACTCAATAATAACATGATAATTTACACACACACTAGGGCTGTGCAATATATCGAAATTATCGAAATATCGCAAATGTACATATCGCAATATGCATATCGCTACAGTTTGCAATATTTGGGGCCATGAACAAAAGACAAAGAAGTTGTTGTAGGGTCGCATATCGCATATCGCATTATTTAATGAGTTATCGCATATCGCATTTTTCTTCAATATCGCACAGCCCTAACACACACACACACACATATACATATATATATATATATATGCAAAAAACATAAGAACATTGCACATTTATATATTATATGTAAACAACTATTGACATATTAACTGTATATATAACTGTTTATTAAAACTGCCTCAATCAGAAAAATTATAACCCTCCTTCAAGAAAAACTGTAATTTGGCCGATAATTATTAATTTGCCGGTGTTACACTGGTTATATACTTGATATCCGAGAGAGAGAGAGAGAGAGAGCGAGAGAGAGAGAGAGAGAGAGAGAGAGAGAGAGAGAGATCTATTACTATTGTTGTTGTTATTCATGTAATACTACATTGCGTTGTGTACATGTTGAAACCAGACTTCAAAACATAATAATGCATAGTATAAAACATAGTCTAAATAACTTTTTCTGTTTGAACTTTTTGACCTGACATAAAAAAGTAATGGACGAATGTAAAAAATTACACTAATGGACGAATGAAAAAATAGGTCCCTTAAATTAATTATAAGCTATAGCTATGCATGCACTATGTATGTGTATATGTGTGTGTGTGTGTGTGTGTATGTTTCGTGTAGTTTTCCTTAAGGTACTAATTTTTGGATTCATATTATGTGCGGTCAAAGCAGCGCTGCAACTGTGTGCAAAACTTTCTTACCGATAATGAGTCGCTCGAGAGATTGCCGTCTCCTACGGAAAGCTGCTCGGGATGTGATCCAGTGTGCTCGCCGCTGAGGTCTGAACCCGTCCCGTGTCCAGCTCTGAAGTAAGAGCTCAGATGAAAGCCTGCGGTCTGATGCCTGTAATCTGATCTCCCATCAGCATGCGCATCAAAGCTTCAGACACGTCCTGGACAAAAGCGCTTTAAACGAGCCTGTTTATTCACTTACACCCCTCCATGTGTTAATCCGAATATCTGCAAATGCACAAACTCCGATATGAAAACAAGGACGGTCTAACTGCATGATCCCGGGGCAGGCATGGGTTTAAAGCAACAGCTCGGTCTTGTGTGATCTGATCTGCTGCGCGGGTTTGATGCAGAATTCCCTTTCATCGAGTGACGTCACCTGACGTGCAGCGATTGGCTGGATTATCTGCACGCAGAGGAGACTTTTCACATCGAGTTCGATTTCTTGAAATCAAATCTCTTACATTCACTGGCTCCAAAAAAAAAAAAGTATTTGAACAATGGAGTCACACTTACATAAGAATGCCATTAGATGGCAGAATACCAAACCAGTGGCATTTATTTATTTATTTATTTATTTAAATAAATTAATAAATAAATAAATAAAGCAGTTTTCAAGAAAAAAAAAACATTTAATAAAAATAAGTTTGTGGCCATTAAGTTAGATAACAGAATACCAAACCGGTGGCATTTATTTGTTTAAATAAAGAAATGAATAAATAAATAAATAAATAAATAAATAAATAAAGCACATGCGGTTTTCAAGAAAAAAAAACATTTAATAAAAATAAGTTTGTGGGAAAAAAAGTTTTTGCTTTTTGTCTGGACGTAATGAATGTTCAATTAAATTCTGTAGTACTTTCAATGTTCAAAGATGTACTAGTACTGGGGGCCCTCTGCTGGTGTGCTAAAGCTAAGCCACATGTGGTTCTCAGTTGTGTGCTGTCATCTGGGCCATACACAGTACCACAATATGAATGGTAGACCAAACGAAACAGATAGCAAAACATATCTGGTGTGGCCTATAGTGTTCAGACATGTCATATCTAGGCAGATGTGACAGCTTGCATCCACATTTGGCACAAAAGTTCTTGATGTCTGGGATGTTAATACAATGAATGTGATAAATGTTAAGGAAAATATAAGATTTTGAGTCAAGTCTGATTGCTAAAATGCTTTCATCATTTAATATTTTGTACTAATGTTGGGTAACAACTGAACACAATAAAAGCACACTAATGTACACTCAGACATGAGTCATCTTTTGATGAAGGTAGATTTTAAATAAAATCTTAATTGTTTTCTCAGGATGAAAGTATTACTACATGCGAGGCTGTATTTATTTGATTTAAAATTCAGTAAAACAGTTTGTGAAATATTATTACAAATGTAATGTATTCCTGTTATGCAAAGCTAAATTTTCAGTTTTCAGTGTCAAATGATACAGAAATTATTCTAATATTCTGATTATTTTTTTTTTTTGATGGATTAAAAGTTAAAAAAAGAACAGCATTTATTTGAATAATAAAAAAGCAGACTTTTGTTTCCCACAATCAACATTTTTATTAAAGCCAACATGAAATGACTGAGCAAAAGGTATATTAACAATTGCTAAAAAAGGGAATGTGACAGATTAGATGAACGAATAAAAAAAAAAAAATAGGCTAGGGTGCAAAGTCATTATAGTTTTTTTTCTGTTTTATATATGTCTACAGTGTGTATACAGTTCATGTTTAAAGAATCTACTATATCCTTTCATTTTACATTTTAAACCAACTTCATCCTTTATTACACAATTTGAATTATTAAAAGGTTAGTTCACCCAAAAAGCAAAGATAATTTCACTTTATTTGTGTGACTTTATTTTGTGAAACAGAAAATGGAGATGTTTAGCATCATTCACTTTCATTGCATCTTTTTTCCCTTACAATAAAAGTGAATTATGACTGAGATTGTCATAACATTCTCCCTTTTGCGTGTTACTTTCTCACTTTTTGCATCCAGGTTCTTTGGTTAAAGCACACTCTCTGAACAGAGACTAATGATGCATGTGCTACTGAGGAACCTGCTGAAGTGCAGGTCGCTTTGGTCAAAGTGAAGGTGTCATGGGGTAGCTGGTGGGACAAGCGGTTCAGCCATTATGTCAATCCACACACTAACAATCCCAAGAAACTCCAAAATGATGTGACAGATCAGTTATGACTGAATTAAGCAACAACAGCTCTGACTTAAGCTCAACAGCTCTTCTGGAAGCACTGAAATCGACACGCACACTGTTTGAAACCCAACTCTTTGTTGTGTTGATGTTGGATCTCATCAAAGCACATTATTTTAGTCTTCCCGTGTAGGATCCATCCAGAATCTGAGCATCACGGTATGTAACATCCTCACTACTTGCGTCACCGCACTCATCTGTAAGGAATGAGACAGTTATTTGTAAAAACACATGTTTAGTTAGATATGTAAATGGAGACATATTGACTTTTATTGTTTTTATACAGTACACAGCTGATCATGCTGTAAATAATGTTACAACCTAGTTAAAATATTTTGAGAATTGGAAAAATTATATATATCACATACATATACAGGCATAACATTATGACCACCTTCCTAATATTGTGTTGGTCCCCCTTTTGCTGCCAAAACAGCCCTGACCCTATGCAGCCCCATACGCAACAAACTGCGATGCATTATGTATTCTGACACCTTTCCATCAAAACCAGCATTAAGTTCTTGAGCAATTTGAGCTACAGTAGCACTTCTGTTGGATCGGACCACACGGGCCAGCCTTCGCTCCCCACGTGATTATACATTTATGTACTGAGTAATATTAATGAACAACATGTACTAACTAGGGTTAGGATTAGGGTTTGGTTCAAGTCTATTGCATTGTGCATGATTTACCGACATTACTATAGTCAGTACATGTTACATATGTAACAAAAACACAGTAAAATAAAGTGTTACTAAAACTACTGTCACTATTTAAAGTATCTTATGCTCACCAAAGCTGCATTTATTCGATTAAAAAAATGCAGTGAAACAGTAATATTGTGAAATATTATTACAATTGTTATTTGATTAAAAAATGCAGTAAAACAGTAATATTGTGAAATATTATTACAATTTAAAATAACTGTTTTCTATCTGAGTAATTTCAAAAGTAATTAATTCCTGCGATGGCAAAGCCGATTCCCTTTCAAGGGAACTTCGAACTGCGTCCTCTAGGGGTCGCTATGGGGAACGCCTCGTCGTGACCCGTGTCTGAAGCATACATGGAAAAAACACCAACTTGTTGGCCGGCGACAGCCATGACGTCACTACCGGTGCGACTAT